AGTGTTTAATTTATAGCTTTATTTCATTGATGTGAATAATATGTGGATGTAGGCGCACAGTTAGATGGACATTTTTCATAACATAGTAAATGGGTTGATGTAGATTGAGCTGAGACTATTACAGTACTGGTGGAGAAATTGAAATCTATTCATGAGAGCAAAGCATAAAAATATCCTATGTATATTTAGAGGTTCTTTGAAGTTATATTAGCCATTAGTATCGAGAATTCTTTATTGCTATATTAGTTCTATATTAGAACTGAATACTTTTTACTTTTTCTAGAGAAGTATTTTCTCATACTACAAATTTAATTTAGTAAAAATATTTGAATAAAATAGATTTTTATTTATAAGTCCCAAGCAGAATACGTTATATTATCATTGATATTTTAAATATCATTTTGAAATGCTTCAGGCATTGATTCTGATGTTGATATGTCTCTGTGATGTATAGACAGAGTCAGTGTAGGGAGTAGCTAATCTTACCTGCCCTTAGAGGTAAGAGAAACTTCATTAAGGTACGTACCATCCATATCTGCCTCACAGATTTTAGTATTGTCAACTCTCTAATGGGATTCTTGCAGTAATAATTGAATCGCTTTTTAGGATAAGGCTGTATTTGAATATGGAATACATGCATGTTTGTCCCACTGTGTTTATGCACTTAAATTTATTATTTTTAGATTTGTCTACCTTTTGCCTTTGTGTATATATGTGCACGTTGTGTGTGCCTGGTGTCCCTGGAGATAAGTAAAGGGAGCAGGAGCTCCTGGGACTCAGACTGCAAAAATGAGCGTTCCTGGCCACAGTCTCTCCAGCCCTGTTTATGAATTTTAGATTCCTGCTTTTAGACTATTTAGAAATGATGAGAGTCGGCATTTAACTCAATATAAACTACATGCAATACTGTGGAGTGTTTATATGCATGTTCATCTAACTCTTATAATGCATTATTAGTTATTTCTTTAGCTTTTTGAGATGATGTCTTATCATGTTACCCAATTTGATCTCAGACTTCCAGATTCTGCTGTTCTTCCTGCCCCAGCCTCCCAAATAGCTGCTCTGCAGGCACACGCCTCACATCCGGTCTGGGTGGTTGGTTGATTGATTGAGTTCTCTTGCCTCTTCCTTCCCCTCCTTTTCTTCCTTTCTTTTGCTGCTTCTTTCTTCCCCCTTCCTCCTCCCATGTCCTCTCCAGTGCTTTCTCCCCTCTCTTTGATTTCTCCTTTACTGAAGATTTATTTTCCACTCTTCTTTATTGCCTTCAGGAATGTCTCCAGTTTGTCAGTAAGAGAGAAAAGTTAGTTTGGATGATTCTGTCCCTTAAGAAATCATCCCACTGGAGTTCTGGGGATATATCTTGCTCAGTAGAGAGCATTTCTAGCATGAACTTGATGTTGATTTTGACCCCCCCCCCCACATTGCTGTATACACTGGGTGAAGTGGTACTAACCTGTGTAAACTCAAGGGGAATCAGAAGTTCTGGGTCTTTCTTGGCTCCACAGCAAGTTCAAGGCCAGCTGTGGCTACACGAGGACCTGTCTCAGAAGAAAGAAAGAGAGAGGATGGGGGAGTAAGAAATGAGCTTGCTAGGAGGAAAGCTCTGAGCAGATGATTTCATGTAAAGTGGTCCAGTAGCACAAAAGTAGTATTCAGCTTGACACTGGTGGACTCAGGGGAACTCTTGATTGCCTCTCTATGAGTTAATTCTTTTTAAAAACTCACTTTTATTCTTTGAGAACTTCACAATGTATATAAAACACAGTTCTTTTTTTATTTATAAAAGTTTATTAATTTATAAAAGTTTCCATTTCCGTCCCTCCTCCCAACACCCTCCCACTCTCCCCACTCCCTCTCCTCCTCCCTCTCCATCCCTAAGAGCAGTCAGGGTTTCCTGCCCTGTGGGAAGTTCAACTTCCTCCCCCTCTCCCTCCAGGTCCAGGAAGGTGAGCATCCAAACAGACTGGATCCCCAAAATCCAGTATACGTAGAAGAAACAAGTCCCAGTGTCATTGTCAATGGCTTTTCAGAAATACCCCGTGTCAGCCACATTCAGAGAATTCGGCCACATTTAGAGAATCTGGTTGGATCACGTGCTCGTTCAGTCCCAGTCCAACTGGCCTTGGTGAACTCTAATTAGATCAGTCCCCTTGTATCAGTGGGTGAACGCACTCCTCATGGTCCTGCCTTTCTTGTTCATGTTTTCCCTCCTTCTGCTCCTCATTTAGACCTTGGGGGCTCCGTCATGTGCTCCAATGTGGGTCTCTGTCTCAATCTCCATCCATCAACGGGTGAAGGTTCCCTCTGATCTTGACTTCTTTGCTCACGTTCTCTTTCCTTGTGCTTCTCATTTGGACCTAGGGAGTTAAGTCCAGTGTTCCAATGTGGGTCTCTGTCTCTATCTCCATCCATCGCCAGATGAAGGTTCTATGGTGATATGCAAAATATTCATCAGTATGGTTATGGGCCAAGGCCAGTTCAGGCACCCTCTCCTCTGTCCAGAGAACAATCTGGGGATCTCTCCTTGGACCTGGGATCCCCTTTATAATCAAGTCTCTTGTGAACCCTAAAATGGCTCCCTTAGTTGAGATATATACTTCCCTGCTCCCATATCCATCCTTCCTCCCTCCTCCCCATCCCAATTCCCCCGAGCTTTCCCCATTCCTCCCCTACTCCCTTCTCTCTAACCCTCTCCCCTTCCAACAACTCCCCCACCCCCCATGCACCCGAGGTTGCCTGACACTCTTGTCTACTTCCAATCTCCAGGAGGATAACTACATGATTTTCTTAAGGTTCACCTTCTTATTTAGCTTCTCTAGGATCACGAGTAATAGGCTCAAAGACCTTTAATTATGGCTAGAATCCACTTATGAGTGAATACATACCATATTCCTCTTTTTGGGTCTGGCTTATCTCACTCAGTAAAGTGTTTTCTATGTCCATCCATTTGCATGCAAAATTCAAGATGATATTGTATTTTACTGCTCCTATACACAAAGGATAAAGAAGCAGGGAGGGAAATCAGAGAAACTTCACCTTTCACGATAGCCACAAATAGCATAAAATATCTTGGGATAACTCTGACCAAGGAAGTAAAAGACCTATTTGACAAGAACTTTAAGTCTTTGAAGAAAGAAATTGAGGAGGATACCAGAAAATGGAAAGATCTCCCCTGCTCTTGGATTGGGAGGATCGACATAGTAAAAATGGCAATTCTACCAAAAGCAATCTATAGATTCAATGCAATCCCCATCGAAATCCCATCAAACTTCTTCACAGACCTTGAGAGAATAATAATCAATTTTATATGGAAAAACAAAAAACCCAGGATAGCCAAAACAATCTTATATAATAAAGGAACTTCTGGAGGTATAACCATCCCTGACTTCAAACTCTATTACATAGCTACAGTTTTGAAAACAGCTTGGTACTGGTATAAGAACAGAGAAGTCGACCTATGGAATCGAATAGAAGACCCAGATATTAACCCACAAACCTATGAACACTTGATTTTCGACAAGGGAGCTAAAGGTATGCAATGGAAGAAGGAAAGCATCTTTAACAAATGGTGCTGGCATAACTGGATGTCAACCTGTAGAAGAATGAAAGTAGATCCATATCTATCACCATGCACAAAAATCAAGTCCAAATGGATTAAAGACCTCAACATTAATCTGACCACTTTGAACCAGATAGAAGAGAAAGTGGGAAGTAGTCTACAAGACATAGGCACAGGAGACCATTTCCTAGGTAGAACCCCAGTAGCAGAGACAATAAGAGAATCAATGAATAAATGGGACCTCCTGAAACTGAGAAGCTTCTGTAAAGCAAAGGACACTGTCAGTAAGACAAAAAGGCTACCTTCTGACTGGGAGAAGATCTTCACCAACCCCTCATCAGAAAAAGGCCTGGTCTCCAAAATATACAAAGAACTCAAGAAACTAGACACTAAAACTCTAATTAACCCAATTAAAAAATGGGGTGCTGATCTGAACAGAGAATTCTCAACAGAAGAACTTCGAATGGCCAAAAGACATTTAAGGTCATGCTCAACATCCTTAGTGATCAGGGAAATGCAAATCAAAACAACTATGAGATACCATTTTACACCGGTCAGATTAGCTAAAGTCAAAAACATCAACGATAGCCTATGCTGGAGAGGATGTGGAGAGAGGGGAACTCTCATCCATTGTTGGTGGGAATGCAAACTTGTGCAGCCACTGTGGAAATCAGTGTGGTGGTTTCTCAGGAAACTGGGAGTCAACCTCCCTCAAGACCCAGCAATTCCACTCTTGGGAATATACCCAAGAGATGCCCTATCATACCACAAAAGCATTTGTTCAACTATGTTCATAGCAGCACTATTTGTAATAGCCAGAACCTGGAAACAACCTAGGTGCCCCTCAATAGAAGAATGGTTAAAAAAGGTGTGGAACATATATACATTAGAGTTTTACTCAGCGGTAAAACACAGTTCTATTATATAATCATATTCACCCTCCAGGCTTCCCCCAACTCTTCCCAGATATACATCTTGCTTCTTCCCTCCACTTAACCCCTTCTGTATTTTGTTCTTTTAATTCTTTTTAATGTATACATGTGATTGATTGAGTTGATGAATACTATGTGTGTATGGGTGCAGAGGCCAGAAGGGAGTGACAGAGCCCTTGGGCTGGAGTTGCAAGCAGTTATGAGTTGCATGATGTGGGTGTTAGGAACTGAACTTAGGACCTTTGGAAGAATAGCAAGTGCTCTTAACCCTTGAGCCACCTCTCCAAGCTCCCACCTCCTTTAAAACAAAAACACACAGAAGCTAGTTTGGCTCCACCTTAATTTTAAAGAAATACAGTGAGATGACAATAAGCCATAGTAGTTTGAGCTCTGTAAGCACAGATGAATACCAAGTATATCTAAATGGAATGGCTCGTATTTACTCTTTAACGTTAATGACTGTATATTCAAAAGTTGTAATAATTGAATATTGGCATTTCCCCCCAAAGGTTTTGAAAGAGGAAAAGAAGATATTTCTCAAAATAAAGATGATTCTTCACTTTCAATGTCAAAGAGCAAGGTAGGCATATTATTGTTTCCAATATGTAATAGTACATTTTTCCAATATTTAAAGTGAGGGTACTAAAATTGAAATCCTGTTTTTATGTTTTTATGTCTAAACCTTGTAGTATATATGAAAAGTATAAAGGTCTATACTCCGACTGATTGAGGTACTATTGAATATTTGAAAAGTATTGGTTAGTAGCTATTACTCTCTTCAGAGTGATACTGGTTTTGGTATGTGGGCTACAGCAGGATGTTTCAAAGTGGAATCTGAGTGCTCCATTCAGAGATGCCTCAGGCTTCATGGTTTAACATAACACTTTTAGATATTTTAGACTTATTTATATGGCAGTCAGAATGCATACATTTGCCAGGCAATGAATAAAGATCTCTGCAGTACTATCCTATAATTAAAACAGGGCATGATTATTCTAAATCAGTATTTTTCAAAAACCACTATAATGATGTGGTGCCCCTCTATAGATGGATAAAAGTTGAGCGAGTTTTCAAAATTTGGACTTTTGGCTTTTTTTCTGATAAGATTTAGTGGCAGCAACAAAAGCTTTTAGTAAAGGTTTTGGAATTTACTTCAACGGTTGGAAGAAGCTTCTTCTTCCAGTGAACTTACTGCTAATTGCAGCAGTGGGCTTTGCTCATCCTGCGTTGTGTGTTTGCTCTTGTTCTTGAGAATAGTTGGGAAGATTACATAGTATGTTTTGATGCATGTTTTGTACATACTATTCATGGTTTAAAAGTACTTGTAATTTAAAGGTGCATGTTTAGGATGACAGTTGAATAGTACATTTTATTTACTGGGCATATATGTGCAGGTACATGTGTACATGTGTGCATGTGGAGGCCAGAGGACAACTGTGGTTGTTTTTCTTAGGCACTATCCATCTTTTCTGTAACACACAGGGTCTCTCATTGTCCTGGAATTCACCAAGTAGGTGAGACTAGTGGGCCCCAAAGAACCCGCCTCCCCACTTTTCTGCATTAGAATTACAAGCACACATGGCCATACCTGTCTCTGCTCCCACCACTGTTTCCTGTGGGTCTGGGGATCTAACCCAGGACCTCATGCTTTCCAAGCAAGTATTTTACTAAATGAGCTGTCTTCAAGATCCATGCCTTGTATTTATATAGCATTTCTTTTCTTACTCATTGCAAGGTTTATAGCTGAGTCCCCTGTAATAAAAGGCATACTAACAAGACAAAATATATATATTTATTTAACACTAAGTACAGACATTCATTTCCCAGCCGACCAGACCCAAATAATCACACAGAAACTATATTAATTTGACCAGTGACTTAGATGTATTCCTAACTAGCTCTTACATGTTCAATTAACCCATTTCTATTAATCTATGTTTTGCCATGAAGCTGTGGCTTACTGTTAAGGGTTCTGGCATCTTTTCTCTTTTAGCGACTACATGGCTTCTCCTGACTCCACCACACCAACTCACTCAATCACTCTATCACTCACTCACTCACTCTGTCTGTCTGTCTGTCTGTCTGTCTATCTATCTATCTATCTATCATCTATCTATCATCTATCTCTATGTTTGGATGTCTTGCCTGGCTTTTTTCTGCTAAACCATTGGCCAAAAGCTTTATTCATCAACCAATAAAAGCAAAACATATACAGAAGGACAAACCACTTCACTTAAGTGCCATGTTGAAGCCTCCAGAAGTGAAGATAATCCTTTCCCCAAAGAAACAAGTAGGGAAACTTGTATATTTTTATGTTTTGGTTTATGAGGAGTATAGGTATGGTTGAGCAGAAAGAACAGTGAAAGGATTAGAGATCTAAACCAGTTGTGCACTCCCTGTCTGGAGTACAGTGCTCTAGGTTCAGTTCCCAGCTTCCTAAAAATAAATAAATAAAATAAGTGAGTAATAAACACATGAATAAATAAATAGAATATTTTAGTTTTCTTTTAATTGCTGTGACAAAACGCTGAGCACACTAGCTCGCAGGAGGGAAGAGTTTGTTTGGCTTACATGTCCTGTCACAGTTCATCCTTGAGGGAAGTCAGAACAGGAGCTCAGTCAGGAACCTGGACGCAAGTACTGAAGAAAAAGTGCTGCGTACTGGCTCGTTTAGTCTGCTCTGTTATATATGCCTGGACCACCAGCCCAGGGGGAACACTGCCCACAGTAAACTAGACCTTCCTATGTCAGTCATTAATTAAGAAAATTCCCACAAGCCAATCTGACGGCAGTAATTTTTCAGTTGAGAGTCCTTCTTTCCAGGAGACTCTAGTTTGTGTCAAGTTGACAGAAACTAAATAGCAAAGAGGGTAATGTTTGTGGGAATTCTTGGTGTCTCTGTGTCTTCAAGTATAGGAGAGCATTTGCTTCATGAAGGGAAGTGTTAGATTTTTTTTTATGGCTTGTTCCCAGGAAGAAAAATAATAAGATAGAACCAGAGAATGTCCTCCTTCCTTCTGCACTGTCTCATAGTTCCTTCATCTTAAAACAAGCAGATGCTGTTTTCAAGCACTGTGTGCTGGGCTCTCCTGGCATTTCATATCATCTGCTTTTGTGCTGGTGGTTTTGTTCTTGGAGACAGGGCTTCTCTTGTAGCCCAGGATGGCCTTGACCTCACAGAGATCCACCTGCCTCTACCTCCCAAGTGCTGGAATTAAAGGCTTTCACCACCACCACTTGGCTTATGATTTCAATTTTTCAAAATTGAAGAAAAATATATCCTTAGCACCATTGCTAGAAATGCAAAGCTTGTCTTTATGCACTTAGTACCAGAATTGTTGAGTATTTGGTGTAACAGAATTACTGCTCAGGAGCTATAAAACATAAGCACAAAGACCTGTGTGGCACAGCTGCTATTTGCCGTCATTGTGTAGCTTGTAGAAATAGAGAAGGGACCACGGAACCGAACTTTGCAGCCTCTGATGTACACTAATGCCTAAAACAGACGTGTGCCTTGTTACACCTGTGCTTTGTATAAAAGAGTATTTAGTGTGTTGATCTTTAAAATTAACTAGGAAGTTAAAGTCTCCATTATATTAGCTAGGCACATCTCACATGTTCAGTAACTGCATGTGGTAGTGACTGCCATGTCACACAACTCAAATGTAGTGAAATTGAGAACAGTCTGGACTGCACGTGAGCCTGTCCTGGAGAAACACAGAGCCTGGAGAGAATAACTGTTACAGGGTAACCTTTTGTGTTGGTGATGCTGCACTTGTTCTGCCATTTTTCAAGAGATCTATAGTAGCTTGTTTGTTCCTAGGTATTTTTATTCTTATTTAAGTAATTGGGGAGAACAAGTTTAAAGTTTAAAACTTATTTTATTTTAATGTGTGTAGGTGTTCTGCCTGCATGTGTGCCAGTGCTCCACACGTGAGGTGCCGAAAGAAGCCATACGAGGGCCTTGGGCTCCCTGGAACTGCAGTTACAGAGCCTTGTGAGCCACCGTGTGGGGCTGGGAATTGAACTCTGGTTCTCTTGAAGAGCAGCCAGTGCTCTTAAAGGCCAAGACGTCTCTTCACCCCTCAAACAGCATTTTTAAAATGAATTTTTAATCATCCTATGTCCATGACAGGAAAGGCCAGTATGAGTAACTTATAAGGAAGATAAATGGAACCTTGTTGCTAGGATAAGGGGTTTCTGTAATATAGATCCCTTACTTGATGCTCCAACATCTCTGAACCGCTTATACATTTATAAGTTAGTACTACCTGTTTTCAAAAGATATGCTTACCTCAATGTTTAGAGTTTCTTTCCAACCCCATAATATCTTTGTAATCACAGTGACATACTATTTTTCCTTATGAATGTAGTGTTTTGTAGTTTCTATAGGAAATCACAAGACATTTTGTACCTTAATGCTTTGCTCTGAAAGGTAGATTTTAATTACATCTGCAATCTGGAATATAATTAGAAACTTGAGTCAGAGCGAATGCCAAGTATTATGTTAAACACTTTATATGTGTTACCTTATTAACCCCCAAAGCAACCTTGTGAGTTAGCAGTAAATGGGGATATTTTACTAGTTAGGACACTAAGAACTAAGAGATAAATAACTTCTTAAAGTTGCATTGCCTGTAAGGCAATAGTAGTAGGGGGCGGGGGAGAGGCATGCTAGCATTCTAAAGCCATTTAACAGAGTCAAGAAATTCTAAGTATTAAAAATCCTGTGGTAACCAGTCATGTTTGTGCAGGAAGAGAAGCCTCCTACAGTGAATATCTTCACCAATGAAACAAAGATGGCTCATGTTTTGGGTCTATTAATTCAGAATCAGGCCTGGTGGAACGTTCCAGGAATTCCAGCTGCTTAGGAGCCTGCTGAGGCAGGAGGATTTTAAGTTCAAGGTCAGCCTGAGCAACTTAGTAAAGCCCTTTCTCAAAATGTAAAAACAGAAAAGGGGGATTGTAGGTGTAGCTCCTACAGCAGAGCAGTTGTTAGCATGCAAGAGGCCGTAATAGGTTCAACCCCAATACCAAAGTTTAAGAAAAGTAGCGTGCTGGCTCGGAAAGCTGAGGTAGTGATGTTTGGGTAGGAAATGGTTGCTGACTTATTGTTCCCCACAGCTAGACTGCACAGTACTGTCAGAGGCTGCTGAAGGTGTGTCTTGATGTACCAGTCTCACACACACGCTTCCAGTCTGCTTATTCATATGACAATGCTATCTTCTAATAACCAAACCAGATCTTGTCACTCGGAGTTGTTGGGGACACATTTTTTTTTCAGAAAGAGAAGTTTTGCATTTGATTCTGGTTGCTACATTGTATGAAGAGCTTTGAAATGCAATAAACAAACACAGACTACTGAGAACATGAGGCTCAGAATTAGGTACAAAGTCCTGCTTATCTACTTGGTGTCTGTATGATTTGGGGAAATATATTTAATCTGTAGATATAGTCTTCTTATTAGTAAAGGGGTTACTTCTGCTATCTCAGGGTTGTTTTAAGCATGAAGTGAAGTGGTCCATACACAATACTTCGTAAATAGTAGGTCAGCAACGTAAAAGTTTAACCAAGTTGGTCTCTGTCTTCTGTATTGAAAAGTATTTGCAGTTTGCTCCCTGTTCTTACTACCATCAGCATAATCTCATTTATTCCCCGTTTCTGTAAAGTATTTCATGTCAACCACCAGGAATATTTTTAGTACCGAGAAGATAAACTTTAGTGACATTTTCATTCTGTTGATTTATCAAAAATTATTTAACTCATTCCTTTTCTTCAGCTGGTCCACTGACCATCATCATTGAATGATATTTAAATATTTTTATCCTTGACTATAGTCAATGATACTCTGCAGGTCTAACATTTAAAAGCTGCTATTTGGATCAAGTTCCATGTAATCCTTGATACTAAAAGTATTACTAAGAATGCTAGTATGTTTCCCATGTCTTACAATGGTAAAAATGAGACATTATAGGATGTTGAGGAAGCAGATAGGTTTTGTTGTTTGAAGATTTCTAGAAACGGCTTTCAAACATAAGCTTTGTGCCGCAGGGAAAGGTTATGGGCACTGGGTTGGGAGGTCTGGGTTTTGGTTACTGCTGTGTTAATGATTGTGACTAATCGACCCCTTACATGATTTTTGATCATGTGAAATGAATATAAAACCATGCTGTTCAATTTTTAAGGCTTTATGAAGATTAAATAACAATTAACTATAAACTCAAAACCTACATTTTTGTTATTAATCATTAAATTAATTAATTTTATCATTAATATTATTTAATTATAATCATAGTTTAATAGTTAATGACAAAAAGGTGGGAGGGCACAGATCCTGGGAGTATTGATGTTGAAACATTGGACAGCTAAAGTGCCTTAGTCTTAGTTTGTGAAGCTGGCTGGAGTTGGGTAGTGGGTTGTCTGTGTGTCAGTCTGATGAAACTTTCCTTTTTTGTTTAGCACTTTTCAGCGGTCACTTTAACACTGCTTTGGCAATTTTTATCCTAAGAAAACTGAATAATTGTATATTTTTTAAAAAATGTTCTGAGAAACAGAGTATAAAATTTAGAAATATTAACTTCACATTGCAGATTAATTTTTGAGCATGTGTGTTTGTGTGTGTGTCATAACACAAATACCAACTAGGGAAAACCTTTATTGAAAATCTTCATTTGCTTAAACCATAGCAGCAAATGGGAAGCATGTAAGAAACGTAACGTTGTGTTTTATGTGGTATGTGAAATAAATTAAGTTTTAATTCTTATCCCTTTCTTTCACTTCCGTCTCAGTCTGAATCTAAACTTTACAATGGCTCAGAAAAGGACAGTTCCAGTTCGAGCAAACTCACCAAGAAGGAGTCTCTCAAGGTCAGTTTCTGTGCTTGCTTTAATAATGACAACGTTTCTCCCTTTCCTCCCTCTAGAACCCCTGCCCCCGTATGCCCTTCCCTGCTCTCCTAAATTCATGGCCTCTTTTGTTAATTGTTATTGCATGCATATGTGTCTATTCCAGAATATAATCTGCTCAGCCCAGCCAGTGTCACTCGTCAGTGTGTTTTCAAAGCTGTCAGTTTGGCACTGGAAAGCCAGCTGAGGTATTCTTCCCTGAAGAGGGCCGCCCCTTCTAATCCTGGGTTTTCTCAGTTGCCTATAGTTGTTTGTGTGGGATTGAGGCCTTGTACGCTTTTGCCTGTCCCCCTTACATGCCAATGGTGTTGTGTAGTGTGAATTCTAACTGGTCAGATATTGGGTAAATGCTGAAAGATAAGAGAAGTAAAGGAGCCAGCCACTAGAGAGACTTCTTACCTCCACCAATTCCTTAGCCCAAAGGGATCTCTGCAAATCCTCAGACTGAATGGGCAAGAAATCCTGTCTCCGTCTGCCTTATATTCCCTTCTCCACTTCCCTAGTGCTGAGTTAAAGGTCTGTGCCTCCCAAGTGCTGGAGTCAAAGGTGTGTGCCCCCACTGCCTGACCTCCATGGTTAACTAGTGGCTAGCTCTGCCCTCTGGTTTTCAGGCAAGCTTTATTTGTTAGAGCACAAACAAGATATCACCACAGTGATCTTGTTCAGCTCACGTTTGGACAGTGGTGTTGATGGAACTTTACAGGTGTAGCATCTGATGTTACTATGAAACTCTCAGCGAACTTCCTGATCCTATCACATTGTGCTTAGTATGTGTTTTTGAAAGTGGTCTAACGCAAGATATTTATGTGTATGCTTCTAAAGGGAGAAGAAAAAACTCCAGAGGGATGGAAAGGCGAAATGTTCTTATTTTTATAGTGTGAGGTCAGCTGATCATTTTTGATGACTGTTGAGAGCAAGCTGTTTCCAGCTTCAGCTGGTCGTAGCACAGGCTCAGGATCAGTGTCCCTTCCCAGCTTTAACAATAGAGTGACACCCATTGTGTGGGGGGCACCCAGTGGACATTTCTGGCATCCATTTAAATTAGTTTGCCAATTACCCGGTCCATAGGAGTATGATGTATTTTGTTTGACCTGTATTGCATTTTAAATTTGGAGACACTGAAAGTCCAGATTTCTAATTTCTCTTAAGAAATGTGCAGCGTTGGGGCTGCCTTCTTGAATGGCCACAGATCTTGGAGCTTACAGGACACATGCTCTCTACTCTTATGGTGCCTGCTGATCCATCTTGTCCATCTGTGCTCTATGGCTGGTCCTGTGTGCATGTGCATTGGCCGTCTCACAGTAGACCACAGTGGGTAATAGCATTGACTGTTCTTTAGAGGACCTGAGTTCAGTACCCAGTACCCACATGGCCCAGTTCAGAAGATCTGAGGGCCTTTTCAGGCATCCACGAGCACTGCATACATATCACAAACATACATGTAGGTTGGAAAAAACACAATATACAAAATAAAAGTAAAGTCTCAAAAAATAAAACGCCATTAAGTCTAAGGCATTGGAGGTGTATAACATTTACACTTTATTATTATGTGTGCATAATCTCAAATTTAACTTTGATAGATTATTATCTTATTTAAGAAAAACTGTGACACTAATAGGTTATTACTCTTTCCTCTATTCAAATAACAAAACAATAATAAAACTATTAGTTCACTTCTGTTTTCTTGGGTTACTTCATAGAAGTAATTTACCTATAAAACTAAAATGGTTAATATTTTGAGCAAATTGATCTCTTAATTGTTTTCCTTATTTATTTCAGTCCTAGATTTTTGTAAAATAAAAGGTCACAACTTGGACCTTTTTTGGGAGCAGTTGCAGCACTGTCTGTAATAAACAAAGTTAGGAGCTAAGACAATCTCTACGAGTCAGAGTGCATTAGGAGAACAGCCTGGCTCTTGAGATCGCAGCCGTGGACGGCAGTCTGTCTTGGTTTGCATCCGGCTTCACACCTTGATAGCAGTGTGATTCTGGGCACATTGCTGTCTCTGCTTCAGAGTTCTTGAATATAATAAGGCTAATAATACTTCTACTTGAAAAGCTAACTGTGGTGATTGAATGAAGTAATGTTACAGATATGAGTTTAGAATGATGACAGTTCACCAAATGGTGCTAACGCTCTCAGTATTTTATTTGAGCTGGGGATCCTCTAGCACAGGTGAGAGAATATGGTAGACAGAGGAACTCTCAAAACAAACCAAAAACCCCAAAGCCAGCAGTGCTACTCAGATGCCTTTAGTCCTCGTGGAGGCAGAGGCAGGCTGATCCTGAGTTCCAGAACAGCTCCTCAGAGAAACCCTGTCTCAAAACCAAACAAACAAATCAATTGGATTTTTTTTTGTTTTTAAAAACACAGAAGCTGTGCATTTCTACAGATTGTGTGTATCTGAAAGGATAAAAGTGATTTAAAATGATCCAGAGGACTGGACTAGTGGTCACAGAAGCCAGACTCCTGCCTGTGCTGTCAGCACTCCTGACCAGTTTTTTTATTTTAAATGCTGGAGTTCTAAGAAGTTGTTTCCTGTACTGAGTGTTTTGTTTCTGTTAAATTAGGTACAAAAGAAAAATTACCGTGAAGAGAAGAAGAGAGCCACGAAGGAGTTGCTCAGCACCATCACAGACCCTTCTGTCATTGTCATGGCCGACTGGCTGAAGGTCAGGCTTGGGTTTGAACTCTCGCTGAGTGCTTATTCACTGGGATGAGAAAGTGCGAGACAGAACAAAAGCTAGGTTCTCAGCGGGAGGGAAGGTATTTCTGTGTTCCCTGTGCCAATCTTCACAAGGGCACATACTGATAGCAATTCTGTTCAAAAGACATTTTGATTAGTGTGATACTATGTTGCACACTGTACCTCATTATAAAGATATTTTATTGTTCCACTTATCATTTGATATTATTGCAGATTGGAATTTGTATTGCTAGGACAAAAGGAGACAAGTTGATATGAAAGGTGAATCTCAGAAGCACTGTCAAGTACACATTGCTGTTCCATTTCCTTTTCCTCATCCAGCCGCTCTCTTCCTTCCCAGGATCACCTGGGAATCTCTGGGAATCTTTACTCCTAACTTTGTAAGACTTTGACCCCGGAAGCCCTAGTGTCTGACATTTTCCACAGCCCTAAAGACTTCCTTTTTTCTGGAATTAGCAAAGCTGCTACCCAGTGGTTCCTAGAGACGTTTGAAAAAGTTCTTCCACTACACTGAGAGTCCTAATCACGGTTGTACACAGCTCAAGTACTGCAAGGGTTTTCTTCGGTTTTGTGCTGAAAATAAATTCCAGTTTACCTTATCTCTTCCCAAAGCTCTGGATCACACTTGTTTTCTTTTCCATATGCTCTCCAAGTCCCCAGACGTCCTTAGGGTGGAAGGGTCCCGCCTCACCTCCCCACCCACTCTAGTATTTTAAAACAAGGTGTTGCTCTATGTAGCCATGACTGGCCTTGGACACATGACAGTCCTCTGACCTCAGCATCTCAGATGCTGGGATTATATAGGTATACATTAGGTATACATTTGAAACAGGAGGCTGTTCACTCATTTCCCGGCTGCTCGTTTGTTTCCCAGACACCCAGACCCAAATCATAACACAGAACTATATTAACTATATTAATTACAACACTGTTTGGCCTATTAACCCAGACTTCTTATTAACTAACTCTTACATCTTAAATTAACCCATTTCTATTACTCTGTGTTTCGGCACGAGGCTGTGGCTTACTGGTAAGGATCTGGCATCTGTCTCCTTTGTAGCTACATGGTATCTCCCTGACTATATCTCTTCCAGCCTGGCTATATTCTGCCCAGTTATAGACTGAAGTAGCTTCTTTATTAACCAATGGCAATAAAACATATTCATAGCATACAGAGGGGATCCCACATCATACATCTTCACCCCTGACTCTGACTGGCCTTGCCTTCATTTCTGACAGTTGACCCTCTTTTCTATTGTCACATCTCCAAGACCAAGGATGTTATGTCAGGGCAGCTACCTTTCCTTTGGTTCTCTTGGCTTTCCATCTCATTTATGTAGAGATGCGCGCACACACACACACACACACACACACACACACACACACACTTACACCTCTTCTTAATATTTTTCTCTTTTTATTCCTGGCTACAGAGTCTCCCTAACTTTTTATATCTTGGAATTACAGTGGTTTTGCCCATTTTGCTCCTTAATGAGTCCTGTATTCATCTCATAATTCATGTACATTCACAGCTCATGTCCATGCAGATAGTGAAGAAAGCTCCTGCTTTAGTCTGAGTCCTATGTTGCCATCCTGTTCAGCATTGTGAAGCCAGTGAATTGCCTATTATCTATTTTTAATAGAGTACAGATGTAGAAAGTGATAGATAAACTTGCTAAAGTTATTGACAGAATTGGTACTTAAGATAAGAAACATTTCATAAAAATTAGTAATGTGCTTACACTTAAAGGCTTCCTCCTAGACATTTATATAGCACACCTGAGGTAACGACTGGGAACACTTACCTAAGGAGGGCAGTTTAGGAGCTAGGTAGACTCTGGTTTGGGAGAAGATCTTTCTTCTTCCTACTATTTACCAGATGTTTAGGAAATGTCTTGGTTGTGCCAAAAGTGTTCAGAAAAGGAAAGTTAGAAAAGGCAGAATAATCATTTATTCCCACAAATTACATTCGTTAACAACTGCTACCAAAAGAATAATTTCAGGACTTTGGAAGTTTATTTTATTGATGCCTGAAGTGATCTAGGAGGTTAGGTTTGTACTTCATATATAATTTTGAAACTCTGGCCTACTATTCTATGAAAATCTGAGCTTTTTTTAATCAGGAGCCATGTCAACTCCACATTCATCTGCATGGTATGCATGAAGTAACCTTTTCACTACAGACCTGTTCAGTGTAAATGTATGTGTAATATAATTTTAAAGTGTCCCAGTAGCTGTATTCAATTTGTAATTCTGTAGTCTAGAAAGAGAAACAGATATCAATCTTTAAAATAAATATTTTTTTTTTCTGTAGATTCGTGGTACCCTAAAGAGCTGGACCAAGTTGTGGTGTGTGTTGAAACCTGGGGTGCTTCTGATCTATAAAACACAGAAAAATGGCCAGTGGGTTGGAACAGTCCTTCTGAATGCTTGTGAGATTATTGAACGTCCATCAAAAAAGGATGGCTTTTGTTTCAAGCTTTTCCATCCTCTGGAACAGTCTATTTGGGCAGTGAAGGTACGTGAGCACTTGTTGGGGGAAAGGTAAAGGGGACAGTGGGAAGGAAGGTAAGTCATCCAAATGCCTTCTGTCCTTGGCCAGGACCCATGAACCTGCTCCTGCCTCCCACAGCTGTATTTATCCTTCTGTCTCTGTGCTCAATTAGTAGACAAAGAGCCTTTCGCTTATTTTTAGAACCTAAAACAATTTTTTCTGAGAACATTTTCCCAATGTATTGGATCTTGTTTTCTCTTTTGTTACTGAAGATTAAATTTATATTTTTTATTAATTGTGGTTCCTGCTACTTCTGTGTAACTTTGTGTAATATTGACTGCATTTTTATTCTTCATCTTAATGGTAGCCTGGAACAGAAACTGACACATTTTTGTGGCCCTCCTGTAGTAATGGGGATATGTGAGAAGCTGTCCCTATTTGGTCTTATGAGATGTGGCTTTCTTTAAAGATAGGAAACTAATGTTTTTATAACTGAAGGTATTAGCATGGTCCCCTGAGTGCTGGAGCAGCAGAAATAAGCAGGAAAAAAGAAATGCATTCTTTGATTAATGGTCAAAGAACTCTACAGTTCTCACAGTTTTCACAGTGAGATCAATCGTTGCTTTAGACTCTGGGATGATTATGTTCACCTTGACTAAAGGACTTACCCAGACAGTATTGATGTCCCCAGGAAAGGATTTGGGATTTTTGTTGCAGTAGTCTGTGTTCATTGAGGAATAATTTTAAGATTACAGAATTATTTCTGTTCTGGAATTCTATTTTTTTACTAGTGAATTATAATTAAATGTCTAACTACCTAATTAGATTTTTAGTATTTCTCATATAGTGGCCCCTTTATGATGAAAATTTTTGTTAGAATTAGAATTGTGTTAGTATGGTACATTTTAGATTTTCCTATGATATGAACAACATGTGTAGACCAACCACAGAGCAAAGAACTTAACCCACAGATGATGTATTTTGTGTGGAATCTGTTATTTTATCCTCATACCTAGAAGGTTGTAGAATTCTCCTAATACAAATAAGATAGAATCCTATAGTAGTTTTCCTAGTAGGTGACAAGATTAAAATCTAGGTAGTCTGGTTCTAGGTCCTAGTGTGTGTTTGTTTGTTTTTTAATTGTTTTTAATAGCTAGAGTTAATGAAGCAGTTCTTTCTCTTTGTTCAGTAAAGCTTTTTGCGATCAGTCTTTAAAACAGATAGTAATTGACTATAAAGTGAATATTGATTTTCCCATAGACCCAGTCAAAATTCTTTTTCCTTTATCTAGTGAATTATATTTTCAGTGACTTTTTCAAACTTCTGGAAATACATATTTCTCATGTAGTGACATCTGTAAAATAGAAATTTTTATTAATTGTGTTGGTATGTTATATATTATGTTTTATTTAGTATATGAGCACTATGTACAGTTAATATTTAAATGATAAATACTGTAATTTGTTCAATTTTATTAAGGAAGTGTATTTGTTGGGAGAGAATACTTGAATACTAAAATTGTTATTCTTAAAACAGACACAATTAAAGCTGATTTGGTTTTAGATTATAATTGTGCCTGATATAACCCATATCTGATAGAAATAATAAGACTAACCTATTGTTGGCCTATTTCAATGCTTATCCAGTACCTGTACCATCTGTTTTTCTTATTAAGGGTCCAAAGGGTGAAGCAGTGGGATCCATAACTCAACCCTTACCTAGCAGTTACTTGATTATCCGAGCGACCTCAGAGTCAGATGGTAAGTACTTTTTGGTGGATTGGCTCTCATCTTTCAGGAATTATTTACATATTATTTTGTGTTAACCTTGGGTTAAATTAGATTTTTTAGGATACTTGAAACAAGTAACCATAAACTTTGTGGACTGCAAACTACATTGCTAGCTTTGTAGACAAAGAATTCTAATAGGAAGGACACGTGTAACTGGACAGTGTCTGCAGCTCGGGTTTTCTCATTCTCCATTGACACAGTAGTGCTTTGGAGACTTAGTAGTATTTTTTTTTGTAGTAATTCATTGAATGTTATCGTTTTAAGAGAATATTCAACCTATGAGCTGTCACTTCATTAACAGTGATTATGGAACGTATAACACTGGTTTGATTTTATTTTACATAAGAAAGCAAAATACAAATAACTGTCCACATACACCCCCGCCCTGTAGCCAGATCCATAAGTCATTTGGCAAATGATGCAGAGAGCAAAACACACACACACTCACACACAACACACCTTAAACACACACACACACTCACACACAACATACCTTGAACACACACACACAACAT